CCGGTCATCGGTGACCGACACGGAACACGAATTCAAATATAACACAATACCGTTGACGTGAATGGAAAGTCCGTGGAAAGAACGTGTGAAACGAGGATCGCGAATTTCCAGACTCTGCGAGTCTCCTTCAACTTGGAACGGTCTCATTCACCGGGTTCCGCGAGTCAGGTAAACACGGTTACACGCGTCCAGGGTGAAAATGTCAGGTATTTACCACGCGATCGCCCCCAAGTTTCTCTCACCTTTCCACGAGCATGTATGCGGTGCTGCTGCGCCTCTTTCACCGAACGTCGAGCCGCGCGCAATAAATATTCTTTCGTGACAAGACACATACGGGCGAATTACATCGGGAACCCCCCCCCCCCTTATCGATTGGTATCGGTTGACGGTTGCACGGTTTAACAACGATGCTCCGAATGCCGGCAATAATTCCGTCCTCCCCCTCCCCTCTAATGAACTGGTTCGATCGAACGTTGCGACACGAGTGTGCAGCCTTAAAAGGCTCAAAGAAAAAAAAAGGAAAAGAAACGAGTCGACCGTTTAATCGAGTCGACGAGATGACTCAATTGGGACCGGTAATTCGCTCGGGATGGAGTGGGGGCAGGAGAATCCAATTCGCGATTACCCGGTCGGAGCGAGGTTTTATCGTCCCGTGGACACCTTACGTAAAATCTCGTCAAGTTTCACCTTCTTGGCGCCCGTAAAGGTCTCATCGCACGAACCGATCCCCCCGTGTTTATACCCTTTTTATCGAGCAAAAGGAAATCTCTCACCTTTGTTGTCACAGACGTCGCAGAATACCATCGCCGTGGGGAAGAACTGGCTCGCGTGTGCATCCGACCGCGTGGTTACGCCTGAACTGAGAGACACTTTGCCCCGGAGGAACGCCGCCGCAACCGCGCCGGTTCGTCGTCGTAGGTTGACAAACGCCGGGGGACGAAAGAGGAAGACGACGACGGAGGAACACGCCGCGTGTGCGTATCGACCGAGTTCGATAACGCGTAAACTCGAAGCTGGGTGGAGGACCGCGTGGTCACGAGAAGGACAGGATTCAAGAGTGGGGAGGGTAGAGGGAGGAAAGAAAAGTCGAGGGAAAAGAGAGAAGAAAGATTAGGCGACTGGCGGTCGCGAAGACGAAACCGCAGAATGTTTCTTCGTGGAAAAGGATGAAAAAGAAGCTGGAGGAAATAGGAGAAGAACTATATCGAGGGATGGATAGGGGGAGGAAATTGGCGCGAGTTTCACGAAGGACGATCGACTCCGATAGTCTTCTGAAGCGTTGGGCGCGCGGTTTGACAGCTAGATTTGCACTGGGGAAGCAACATCGGCCAAATACACGCCGGACTCTCTCAACGGGGACACGGATGGGTCTGCTGCGGGGCTGTTGGAGGGGGGGGGGTGGCGAGGGGAATCCTACGTTTCATTGTACGCACACCATGGCCCACCATGGTGGGGCAGGAAGGACGCCAGATCAATATTAGGGCGTAGACTCAAGGGCAAGGGCCGTCAACGCCTATGTGTATATATGTATGTATACCTATACCGCACCATGGTAAGCTCGTGGTAAGGAAAACCTTGGATGTTCCTTTTTTTTTTTTTTTTTTTTTTTTTTACGTGCGTCGGTGGAATCCTTATCGTGGTCGCGTAGCTATTGTGTTTCGAAGTTATCTGCAGGCCTTCCGGTCGCCGATCGTGGAGGACAATTTGTAATCTTCGCACGGCATCGCGCCGGGTAACTATGTGGCTTTTTCGCATCGCGATTCGCGTTTCACCGAGCGATTGCGTTATTGAGTAGAAATTTCTGTTTAACCTTCGACCAGCATTCTATATAGAGAAATGTCATGTTAAAATATGTTATGTGTGTAACGGCAAAAAAGTAGAAAGAAACTTGGTTAGCAGTTCTTGGTTTCTGGAAAAACCTTGAAAATTAATGCATTGATGTCTCTATTCATGTACTGATCCTGTTTGTCATTAATGCATTGTGTTCACTGTACAAATTACAACGGGGTTCGATTTACGTTACAATTTAACTATCAAAATAAGTTAGTTTCGTTTACCCATTAACCACCAGAGATGAGTAAATTCATTACCTAGATAAATAGTTTCGAATAACGAGTAAAAGATAAAAAAATATTATTTCGTCAGTTTTAACGAATTAAATGTGGAAATTCCAACATTTATAAGGGAACAATATTTCTTCTTGAATGAATAAACACTTGGCAAACAATAATTTTATTACCTGTTTAAATGTGAGGATAACGATATTAGATACTGCTGCTTTTCACTATGTATTATTCGAATAAAATTGGGCCCAACTATGTTAACAGCTGCATAAGTGAAACAGACCACTAAAACTAGATACATAACTCGCGAACCGTGCGGTAATGTGTTAATGTATCTGAACATTAAGTAGCGGTTGCAACTAAAACGGTTGAGAAGGAATCCACGAAAGGCAATCGAACTATCCGTACACTTTACAATACCGTTTTCTATTCGCGTCGTGCATTCCGAACGAGGGAAGGTTCTCCGAATCGGGCGAACGATTCGAACCGGAGGAGAACCTTCGGAACGGAGACCGTGGAAAACCGGGTAATGTCGTTTCTTTTCATACGGTTCTAAGAGCGTGGACGTTTCATAAATATTTAACGCTCCTCGCGTTCCCCCGTGATGATCGTGACGCAAGATGAAATGTACGCAAGACCCGTTCAACGATTAACACAACCATTTTTCTTTTTCTGCGGAACAATTTTTCTCGGATCCCCTGCGGCCTGGGCGAATCGAAAGTCTGAGTAACAGCGACCAACGAGATTCACAACGCAAAAAGCGGATTTGGGTGGGCAATCAAGCCGATCGCGTGTCATTGGACTTTTAATAAACGCGACGGTCGTTTGGGCAAGCGCGAATACGTATAATTCGACATCCACGAAGCTTTCCCTTGGATATTCGGGCGAACAGGATGTCCCTGAGAGTGTGCAACCATGTACCCGGAGAGTGCAACCATGTTCCTTGTATTCGGTGATGCATGGGGGCTGAAATGTTGCAGTACAGTTTACACTCGCTACGTGATACCTTGAGATGTTTCGCAGAAATATTGCACGTGATAACAGAGTTAGACAGAATTTTATTCGAATATGTATCTACGATCGTCATCCTGACTTTTAACTACTTAATTGGATTAAATAAATATCTACTCGTTCAAAAGTGGGTGTTACTTTATTATGACAATTGTAATTTTCACGTTTAATCAATTTAAAATGTTGAAAAGCTTCTTGTATCACTTTGTTTGTTATTCAAAATTCTTTATGCAGTTAATGAACTTGTCGATCATTGCTTGATTACATTTTACGATACAATAAATCGTACCGATTGAAAAAATTAATTTAGATTTTAAAAATTAATTTTCCTCCTCGAAACCATTCAACTCTTATCTGAAATGATTTCGGTTTCGAAGATATTGGCGAGGATCGGTTTAAATGACTCACCTCCTGTATAGGATTAAATTTTAATTCTTTTAGACTGATCATCGGAGCGGACGTGTTTCCTTATTATTAGTTCGGATAATCTGCGTCCCATTGTAAATAATATTTCACCGCGATCCTTTAATTAAATTTGATTTCATAATACCGCACATAAAATTACGATTTTTCCATCGTTATCACTATAAAGGAACGGGCCCGGTCTCTTTTATCGTTCCTTTTTCGATGGCCGATCTCACGGCCCAGATATCTTCCCCTTTTCCTTTCGGTGCTACGAGTGTGCTTGAAACTGTAACGCGATAACATTTTTTCGTGGAGGTAATATACCCAGAGCGAGGATAAACGTTTTCGTGCACCTATCTGATTACGTGGCACGCACGGATAGGTAAGCAAAGATAGAGTAAATCCACGTGTAAAGTGATAAACGCGTAGATAAGAATTACTGCCAGCCGAAAGAAAAAGGAAAAAAGACCAGACGAGTAAACCCAGGCGTTCGTCGTAGTCCAGGACTTTCATCGCGGGTTTCAAGGTGAACGATCGCGATCGACGTGGAGAGAAATTAGATGGCTCCGTGAGTGGCGACGGTGGCGTGAGAATCGAGAAAATCGGCTCCGACTACCGTTCAAACCGCTGTATGCGTCATGCTAGAATAATCTACGAGACTGTACGTAAATTCGAGATTTCCGTAGAGAAAACTTCACCTATCGAAGATCACGGAGCCTAAGTGGCGAGAAACGATCGTCCAATAAACCAAAATAACCAGAGAGAAGAGTCGCAGTTCACGCTCGATCTCGTCTGGATAAAAATCGAAGAGGCCATCGTGTGTGCGTCTGTATATACCTCCGGCTAAATCCATATGTCGGGACATATGTTAGGGGACACGCTACCCTGACCTGCGCCAGTAGCACGACTGAGAGAGGGGATCGTCGAAAAGTCTAAAAATAGGGGTGGCCTTAGGGCAAGGGGGATTAATGGTCACCGTCGGTTGTAATTTTAAACACCTCGGCAAACGTTGCTAATCCAATTCTACCGGCTTATGAAACGCACCCTTTAAACCGACCGACAGAAAGAAAGACAGAGAGAGCCCTCGCGTCGCCGGGGGGGTCATCGAAATGGCCAGCAGAAATTCCAATAAATCTCACTTAACGCCGGCCCGGGGCCCGGTGTGTGCGTTAATCAGCGTTTTACACGCACGTGAACGCTCTTAGTTGGAGCATTGAGACATCATTTTCTGTGGGCCGAATGGAATCCCTGCGTAGTCGTGATTCGAACGGTAATTAAAATTTCGGGCTCGTGCACCATCTCGGTTGGATACCCCGTTTCATGTCGCCGGATGGGAATTAATTGGTCAGCTTTTCGAGATTCAAAATTTACATTTACAGATTTTCGTAATCCGTTCGTGGGATACCCGTAGGATCAGACTGTTTACCATGCAATTGAGCCATCCAACTTCCCCAATCCCGTACCTTCCTCCCTATTCGAGAATGTCTACCATCTGCCGTACGAACATTTGGGTACGCTCACCTTTTTTCTGATCCTCGCTATCCGAATGAAGCTCGACGTCGTACCAGTGGCTTCTAGATCGTCCCCGTTCGTGCAAATCGGTTTTCAGTTCGGCCAGTTGCTTGTCGGATTCCTTCAGTAATCCGTCCAGGATATCCGGCCTGTCGAGCTCCTTCGTTCTCGTTCTCGTGTTCTCCTCGAGAATCGTAGAATTCGTGTACTCCTCCCGATTGGGCGATGACTCAACGCCGTCTCCGACGTTCCCGAAGTTTTCCTCGATGCGATCGTTTTTATCGCGATCGTCGCCGAGTCCATTTACGTCGCAGCCAGGTCTGTTCTTCGATTCCTTTCGTTTCCGAACCGGTGGACGTGGGTGCGATTCCTCCGTCTGTTTTTTCTCTTTCCCCGGCTGTTTGGCGTCCGCGACACTTCTCTGCGACGACACTTTGCCCGACACCCTGCCGTTCGTTTCCTTCGTTGTTTTATTCGGAGTGACGTTCTTGGGGTTGTTCTGACGATCCTTCAGCGACTCCCGGTTACCGCGGGACGCCTCGAGCAGCTTCTGCGCCAGTAATCTCGTTCTATTAATTTCCGCGGCCGGTTTCTTTTCCTGCCTCTCGAACTCGTTCCGTCTATCCGCTCGCTTCTCGGCCGACTTCATCACCGACCGCGGCGAACAGTCTGGTGTCTGGAACATCTGCTGTATCTTCATTATGTCCGATCGAATTTTCGCCGAACTCGATATCTCAGTCTTCCTGTTCGGGCTGGAGAGCTTTGTGTCAGTCTTCGCCGAAGTTCTAGAACACCTTTGAGCCGGTGGTGTATTTCTTAATCGTTCTAAATCCTTCAAATCGGCCAGCATCGAACTCGACGTCCTACCGGTTCTCGGGGAGCTATCCACAGCGATGGTCCTCGGTCGATCTCTTTCTTTTCGGCCGATTTTCTCCATCGGTATCAGGGCCGGATCAACGAACACAGTGTCACGTATCTGACTGATATTACGGAGTCTCGGAGCTCCGACCTTTAAGCCGGTGGTCCTCATAATCACCTTCTCCACGGACTCGATGTCCCTTTCACGGTCCAAACGTCTTTCTTCGATCAATTTCGCTCGTTGAACGTCGATCGTCGGCACAAACGGACCGTGATACATCGGGCTGTTGATGGACGACGCGGGTCGCTCGTTCGACACACGATTGCTCGGCCTACTAGTACGCAACGGCGATATCCTGACCAGCCTGGGCGCATCCCGTGGATCGTCCGTCTGCAAGCTGCCTCTGTACACCATGTTCGTGGTTCCTGTTAACTAACTGGCGATCCGGTTTTCACGATCATCGGGAGGCCATATCTTCTCTCTCTCTCGTGTGTCTCCCGCCCTGAAAAACAGAGATTCCGTCTATTAATGGAAGCCTAGTGGTGCCTGGTGGTGTGTGCCACTGCCGTATCCCTACTTAAAGGCATATTTAAAGCGTCAGGCCACGGATACGTAGATCACCGTCTTCCGTTTCCCGTGGCAGCAGGAGGGGGAAGTATCCTAGAGCGTACGCGGATCGACAGATTCGTTCACGTTTCTCTCGATCATAACTGGAAATGAATTCTCACAGCGTGTGGCCTGCCGTCAGAGTGCAGTAGAACAGAAAACGTTTTATTCGAATCGTTCGATTGATCGAATGCACAGCTAAATCTATCGGAACTAACGAACTACTCTTGCATCCAAAGTCCTACACAATCGAGCCTTCGAGGAGTCCATATAAACGGATCAGCACCGTGTAGGTATTGCAAAGCTTCGTGATCGTTGAGATCTCAATCGGCATCGAATCGATCAACATCGATCGACTCGAATGGAAATCGACGAGCAAGATACGACTGGTAATATCGGCGTGGGGTTTCCTCCACGGTTTGGCTCGCGTAACCGTTAATCGACGTAAATTACAATCGAGAAAGAGAGAGATAGGGAGTGAGAGAAGCCAACCAGTATACTACTCGTGGCGAAGGCTGCGTCTCAAGAGTCAGTGGGTGTCACCATGTAGGCAGTGACCCGGCCATCTTGCGACACGTACACGATCGGCATGTAGGTGTCCCGGAGAGCCAATGCGACACAGTCCGTTTCCAATGCATATCTTGCTGTAGAAGTTTAATCGGTCTTAACTCGCGCATTCTAATTATACACGCGAGATGGGATGTCGGGGGTGACAGTTGACGAACGAACGAACGGCCCGTAAATGGACGCCGGGATCGATCGCATGGAACGGCTCGTTGCGTTCGTTCGTTCCATTGGAATCGATCGGCTGCCTTCTGTCCATCGAACCATCGATCGCTGTAATTGTTATGCCGTGGATATATCCGACTATACGGATCCGTTATATAACGCGTTCTGCGTTCTGTCTTCCATCCAAGCGGCTGGCAATCATCCGTCGATTCCGAGTCCATATTACCGTTCGATCTCGAAGCTGCCTGGACATCGGCAGCCTCGACGACATGTTATAGTTTGTAAGTAATGTACGATCTTGCGGTTACTGGTCGAAAGACAAGCTAACGAGCAACAACAACTACACCGTATCCCATCGATCGCAAATGACATCGTGTGCACTCGAAACTGCCAAAGAACGTATAATACCTGTTCTGCGGTTTACGATCCAAGAGAGAAGCTACGTCCCAGGTATTTGGATACGCAGGTATCAGGGAATAACGACGAACATTGTAATGTTTAATCAACCATTTGCGGTTTTGCAATCGTCGAGTGAAATCTCGTCGGATCTGGAAGCATTTTCTTCCGTCGAATCGAGGGAAATTTCGCGGGAACATGACACGCAAAACAACGGGGCCCTTTTCTCTCGCTTCGAAATTTGCGTAACGTTACACGCTGGATCCCCCCCCGGTTCCGTTCACGGTAACTTATCACGACCCCGCTTTTGCCGGTCTGTTCAGCCATTGGTCACGGTAGAAGAGAGGTAGATACACGGCCTGTATACAGTTCTGTGCACCTATTTTTCGCGCAAGCTTTCCGACTTAAACCGCGTGTCCAAGATACATGTTCACTCGACAGGGAGAGAAAGGACCTCGTGTCACCGTTTTCGTCGATGCGATCGCCTGTTCAGGCACGGAATTGTGTATGGTATTGTGTGCACACACGAGAGGAAACCATAATAATTTACGTACCGTTTCCGGCGTGGACAGAGAGGCGGGTTCACGATAAGAGGACGCTCGGTTTAGAACGCGACTCGAGCAACAACGATGCTACTGATCGCCAGCGACTACAAGTATCTTCGAAATCTCGGCCTGGTTCCGCTGGAATATCTTTCACTCGTCCCGGTTCGTCGTGGAATTCTAATCACGGAAATTGTTCTACGCCCGTAGCTAGTCTCTTGTTAGCTCTGCAACAAAAAAGGTTCATGCATTTTCCATTAAAAGAATGCCTTGCGCGCGCGCGTGGTTTATTTCTTCGCGGGACACGCATCCGTTCCCTTTCCCGTTCCTCCTTCTCTCTCTTTCTCTCTGTCTGTCTCTCCTTTTCCCTTTTGCGGTGTTTTCGTGGATCGTTTCGCAGGCTCCTGAGCTTCACGGTTTGCTAGGCGTACGTTCGAACGAACCGAACTGGAAACACAGAATTATTAGCTCTGTTCCCATCGCGAGGCGGTTACGTAACGATTTTCCCTTGGATTTCAGAGTTTTTCCATTAACAATTAGAAATTAATTGGCCGTGTATCGAGCCGGGTAACCACGCCCCCTGCCCCTCGATACCAAGACCGCATAATTGCTTGCTTGTATTCGAATAACCCTTTCATACTTTCCATGTGTTTTATCGTGGATCGGGAAGATCCCTCGGTATACATATTTATGCTGTGAACTTAGCGGATCCGCTTCCTTCGACTAGTGACAGCTAGTCCGCGTAGAGTAAACTAGACCGATCCCATGCACAAGAAGGATGGGAACCGTCATGCAGCCCAATGCAGGCCGTGAAACATTCTATTTTTACACGCTCGCTCGTTGATAATGTCCCAAGGCTTCCCCGTAATGAATGCCGATTTCTGCCTGTCTTGTCAAGAAGAGAACGAACGATTTCGATGGGAACTGGAATCGCATGCTGTCACGCGTAAGATCGTTCAAAAGCCTGAACCGTGTTGTTCCAGATCGCGAGACGACATCGTTGATAAGAACGAAACGCGTGCGCGCCTTCTGTCTCGATGAACCCCACACGAAGTACCCAACTGACACAAGGCGAAGTTTATATCTATCTGTGAATGAAACTCACCCAAATGGTTCGATCCCACGCGAACAGCTGCGCCGTAGACAACCCCTGATCCAGCTAGCCCCAACGAACGGGGCAGATGCCCTGATACAACCGCGGTAGATTCGAAACCGAAACGCTTGGACGGGACTGATTATCACATTATCACTTCGCGGTAACTGATCACGGAACATCCATCTGGTCACAGGAACAGAGTTGTCTGTCGTTTGTGCTTTTTTCACCAGCCTAATGCAATGTATACCTCGAATGAAGCACGCACGCGATCCCCTAGGGAGCTGTTAACTTCCAGTGTACACACAAGCTGGTATCCTTCGATCTTCTGCGATCCTGGTGATCACCGATGGATACGCATAAGTCCACACACGGGTCGAGACGCAGGCACCGACAGCACCAAGTTCCCTCGTGCCGTAAGGAGCACTGAATGGGTTTGCCAGCGACGAAACGTAATCGCGTTTACGGGCCAGCTGTAGGTACGCCACTCTTTTCCTTTCCTTTCTGTGCGAGCCAGTCGAGTATACCGGAGGATCCCCACTACGTGCACGCGTTGAGCACGAGCGTATACACCCACGCGACACCCGGTATACGTAGGCAGTGAACGCGGATGGCATTGAGGAGGAACAGGGAGGCCAGATGCCCGCCAACTGTCAAATCTTCTTGCCTGTCTTTCGGGGGACCCGCGAAATCGGTGCCGTGCATTTTTCTCGATCCTTGGGTGAATGAACTTTCAGGAAAATGGACCAACATCCAGACCTGAGTTATTGGATTTTTGAGGTCGGAATAAGTATTTCTCTTTGACATTCAGAAATCTTGTTCTTTACGTTCAGTTTTAATTAAATTTAATTTAATTTAATTTAATTCAGTTTTAACTGTAAGTGAACTTTTTTCAGTTACGTAACTGATCGCTGTTCGATAGTATAATTAATTATCACTTGTTTAAAGATTTTCCTCGCAGAAGTTGGGTAGTTAGCCACGAACGGTAACGTGTTCCTGAAATATGGAATATTAAAGTAGCTTGTATATCACAGAGTACAATTATAAACGGAGGATACTCGAGCAGAAATCTCACGCGGTCGTCGATCCATGTTCGTCGCTGTTGATCGCTCGGCACGCAATTTCCATCTACTTACCCGTAACCGCGGTGACGTCTTCTATTGAACGTTACCGGTGAACCGTGTTTCACAAGCGCCACGGTTTGCCAATGTAAACGCTAATACCCACCCACGGTTGCCGAACAGGGTAATAAGCTTCTCGGTAGTCGGGTCCGTGGATTTACGAGACAAGCGGATCAACGAAGCTGTTTCTTCACCGTCAATTTCTCGATAAAATCATTCCCAAAGCCCTCGGGATCTACCGGTGCGTTGCCTCTGCGCTTGTGTTTTTTCGTCTGAAAGACTGAAGATTCAGTGTGAAACCACGTATTGTTAACACAACACTAACGTGTAGAATGTCGCTAGAAAAATATAAATCTTAATTTCCCTCACCTGAAATATTATCCATAGGTTGTTATTACAGCTAGTCAAGCACATCAGCTATCGAACAACAGCTTCATTTCTCGGTCGGCCTCCTCGGAAAATGTTCCCCGTCACCGTGCATCATTGTCTCCTCCCTTAACAATACTCATTATTGGCGAGGATTATTGTTTCCTGGTTCGCAATCGTTCGAACTGTCATTGTTACCGGTCGGTGTAAGTCGTACAGCCAGTCTAGCCGGTACAAAGCGCGATAATAATGGCATTCTGGACAAGCCCAGAGATGACACAACCTGTCAGCAATGACTGTCACGTGGTACCGCTGCTAAGCAAACGATCGCAGAATCCTTTAAAATGGGATACCGTTCTAAGATCGATTGTCCGTGGAATGCATTTCGATAAACCGAAGGCGGTCTCGATACGAAGAGCAAAATGGACGTGGCGGCAACGGTGTCTTCTGTATACACGGGTTATACATATACGCAACAAGTGTCGACGTCGCCGAGTTGTTGCCTCGAGTCCTCTGTCGCTTTTAATTAATACCTCCCAACATGCGTCGTCATATCGATGACGATCCATTCCCGTCGAAGCGCACTCCCGTCCAAGGTTATCCGGTTTATTTCGCCGACGATGAAAAGAAGAAACAAGAAAAAGGGGGATCGATGATTGCTCTGGTTCACGGACTGGATCGTCCAGGCTCGCTCGAGATTAACGTCTCGCGGCTAATCAAGCCCTCTTTCGCGCGGAAAATCACCGCGATCTCGTTTCTCGATAATACGTTCGCGGTATTCCGTTGATATAGCGCCGGTGCAAATACCATCGAAACGGTGAATACAACACATCGACCGATCGTGTCTACTTTTGACAGGCCAAAGGATCCAGCGCACGTCTCAAAGATTTCTCTCGGGTATAATACCTGAGTTTGACTGCTGAGGGATTGAAACGTGAGCGCGTGCTGCTTTTTTCTAATGAGGCAAAGGTCACTTCCGGTCATACCGAAAAGCGGAAACGCAGCGCGTGCTCGTCCGTATCCTGCCACGGTGCCGGCGTGTTAGCAACTTATGCTCGCACGGTAGGCTACCTTCGCTGCAGGATACACCTAGTCAAAAGTAAATTTACTTTATCTTTACTCACATTAACTTATTACTAAACACGAAAGATTTGTTCCATGTAGTATTGTTTCCTTCGGACCCTTTCGTATTACGAACCTCAGTCGAAAATAGAAGAAAACATTGCCCTAAAAATTCAGACTTTCATGATATAAAAATTTCTTTATTTAGCTACTATTTGAATAAAATACATACTAAATTTTAATTCTGGACTAATGTTGATTCGTTTTTTTTTTTCGTGGATTAAAGAAAGAGAAGATTTCGGCTTCAGGAGCTGCAAGTTGTATTCTTATTTTTTGGGTAGATTATATTCGGCAAAAAGGCAGACTTAGGAACTTTATTTTTGTAACTCGTTAGCATATACGTGGATGAGTCATCGGGGGACAGAGTATGTATATTTGACGGATTCGAAGGCACGAACGAATCTGTGGAGAGCAATTCAGACAAAGGAAAGCGAAAGTGGTGAAAGGTAAATTGTTTAGTAATAAGAATTGTGAATAGCTTTTTTGTGTATGAAAGTGCTTACTCTTCTTCCTTGCACGGCTTGTCTGGCATCGTTTTAAACAGGTCTCATAAGACACCTTTGAAATGATTCTCGACGTATGATCGTATTAGGTTGGTTAAATAGTTCGTGTATTTTTTGTGACAGTTGTCTTCAGACGCTCGGAAACGTAACTAACTTTAATCAAAATCTCGTAAACACACGGGTATTTGATAGTTAATATTTAACTGTACATTTTAACTATAAAGTTTAAAGTTTGGGTTTATTTTATAATTTTGGTATAATTTTAAAGATGAACATCTAAACGAGCATTTTCAGCATATTTTACTGTTCTATTTCAAGAAAGGAAAACATACGACGCAAACATCTAAAAAGTTATGCAAAGTGCACGGATAGAATGCGTATGGTTTGCGAATTTTTGTTCCGAGAATTTTTCGCTTCGACATGTTCCACGGCCAAGTAAAGAGTTCGATCGACAACAATCTTCGTTACATAACGCGGAAAATTGCACAAATATTCCAAGTAAAATATTTAAGGGAATCTAAACATTCTGTTCGAAAACGTTAAATTAGACACAATGAGGGTACAAACAATTTTATTGCAACGTACACAAACAAATTTCACACATTTGTCAAAATGCTCGTTTCGTCCGGAATGACGAATGGGACGAAAGAATTCGAATGAAACGCAAGAACAGGATTTTTCTCAAAGCGAATAATGAATAATACACACGTCGCATCGAACGTCTCTATTCTGACGGGACTAAGAGATGTCAGAAAATGAACGAGGTCCTCGAGTTTTCGCCACACCAAACAATAAGATGCTGCTTGATTCACGTGGGAAGATAGTTACGTGGGCGAATTTCTGCCGAAAAGGTCGTAGGTCAACCGTTACGTACTAATCAACGTGTCTTCGGCTCTAACACGATCAGCAGACGATTGCATTTATTACGCAAAAATTGTGTATTTACATTATAGAATGTCATTAGTCAACCCTCTTAACGATATTTAATTAGACGGGACGTTAAATAGAGACCGGTGCAACCGAGACGGTAATTAGTTCACCTGCAAAAATAAATAAAAGAATTGCATAAAATAAATTTGTTTAGAGAAAGCTTGATTTTTGAGAGAATTGAGTTATAAATTACAATTCTAACGTGTATTTGACAGTTAATCACGGGCGATAGTCACGTTTTCGAGAATAATTACGTCCAAAGTTCAAGGTTCGCGGCGTCAGGACCTCATTTTCAATTTATTCTTGAACACGCCAGCGCTTTGTTCTCGATTGAACTCGGTTCGCGCTCTACAAGACACGCTGCACAATGAAAACAATAGTCGTTATTTGTTGCAACAATGCTCGCTCCGCCCTTGCTTTCGGCGTCCAATAATTCGCAAACATTGCGAAGTATCGTAAATTCTGGTTGCAATCTTCGAATGCCCTTTCGTGAATAAAGCCACTCGAGGTCTAATCGGAGCAGGGACGAACGTAAAAGGAAAAAATAAGAAACTCGTGACCGAAAAATGTTCATTGAGTCCCGGCCATGGAACGTTCGCGGGGAGAAACGATATGCGGAAATTTGCAACTGATTACTCGCGGTCTGACGATGTTACCGTGGCGTGAAGTGAAAGCGATTTCATGCGAAGAACGGGGATACATAACGAATTAACAAGCCTGGCCTGTTGATCGGCAGCGAACTCGTGCGCGCGTTATTGTCAAAAAGCTTTTTCCTTGCACGTATGTATGCAGAGTTGTAGAGGAAGTTTACTCAATTTGGACCATCGCCTAGATTGGACCACTACTGCAATTGTTTCCGACGTTTTTTGACTTGCGTACCACTTGGCAGACAATTTCTCTAAATTGTACCCTCTAATATTAGAAAAATAGTTTTCATTTATATACCTGCTATTCTATCAATTTATTCTTCTCACGTACCCCTAAAACACCAAGCAGGTACACCTGAGGGTACGCGTACCCCAGGTTGGGAACCTCTGCACTACTGTAACTTATCATATGTATGCAATTTGCGCCTTGTGATAGATAATATATGTATGATAGTAATGATTGCATTAACTAACTTTGTATGCAGGGTGGAAAACGTAACGTGATCAGTTTAGGTTATTCTACTGCTAGCTGTTCGATCGAAATTTTGTTGGCTAGTATAATATGATTCACGGAGAACTGTAAGATGATTGTACCAAATTGTTTGTCAACCTTTTTTCCCAGAGATTTCAACGTCACCTACAGTTTCTTTTATAGATAAACCTATCATGTTTTACAAGGAAAAAAATTATTTATTATTAAAGAAGTTATTGTAACAAAATTATAGGTTCGTCTATAAAAAATTCAAAGTGACCTTGAAAACTCTTGGAAAAGGGTTGACCACAAATTTGGTACAATCATCTTAAAGCTCTCCTTGAATCATGTTATATTGGCCAAACAAATTTTTGGATCTAACACCTAGCTGTAGAATAATTTAAGCCGATCGCGTTTCGTGGCCCACCCTGTGTAAGCAACACATGTTTCCTATCATATGGTGAAAATTTCTTACTCGTGACAGGTTACAGTAATGGTCCAACCTAGGCGATGGTACAAATTCGGCAACCTTCTCCTATGGAATGCGTGAGAACCTCGACGCAATCAGCTAGTATGACGTGTTCATGTATGAAGTAATCATTGTAACCTATTTATTCCCTGATCCCCGATAAGCGCACAAAACGTTCGTGCAATTTATCAGCCACCGTTACGACGGCTGATCCCAGCTCGTTCGATGTACGTTTCTCACGGGATTTCCAATTTATCTCCGCCATTCCGTTCGGCTTCCACCAGTGTTTCGTTCGCGTCTCCTTTAGTTTCCGAACGAACCGCCAACTTTCGCCGCGTCTGCTGTACCAAACGTTGTAATACATCTTCTCGAGGATTAATATCAGGCATCCGAAGACTATACCGCCCGCCAGTATAGCCAGGATCGGCGCGATACCGCCCAAGGTGACAACGGGATACCCTTTATCGTACGTTGTAGTCAGTTCCGCGAACGTCTTTCTCAGTTTCATCAACACCCCGTTGTCTTTGAACCGTTGCAATCTGAAAATAACGAATCTAGCACAGGCAGAAAAGTCAATCGAATTGTAGGGAATGAATTCTGTACATTATTTACTCGTAATTCATGAGTCCTGTATAAGGGCTGCCCTTTCTCAAAGCGATCGCTAAACTGTCGATCTTGTTGGCTTCTATGTACGCGACTTCGCAAGGCGTGTGGCCTATGGCATCCTTGATCACCTCGGTTACGTAAAAGCCCACCTTTCCGGAACAGACCTACGGTAGAATGGAAATATTGCCGAAGATTGAAAATTTCAATGAAATATCCATGTAGGCGTCACCTGATGAAAGCCATCCGACGCCGTCAACGGTAAATCCTGCTTGTTCTTCAACAGCCTCTTCAGCCTCGATGACACACTGTCGTTGGCCGACTGAAATCAGACTTGTTTAGTGTGTCTATCACCGTCGATCGGTGTACTAGGTCCAACTGTCGAGCTTACAACTATCATATCGTAGTCCGCGCTGTTTTTGAAAACGATTAACCTATAAGATCCATGGTACGCGAATTCTTCCAGAGTGGTGAACGGTAGGCTGATCGTGGAGACGGTTAAGAAGCTGATCAACGAGGCGGAGTACGCGGACATAATGATTAACGCTAACGCGAAAATCGACATGAAAGCAAATCTCAGAGACGATTCGTCAGGAAAGTCTGAAATAAAATTGAATCTTGTTTAAACGTCATTCGGATAGTTTGGCATTTAAAGCTATTAAACAAAAACATCTTTATATATATATTAAACGGCGAACATGAATACAAATATTCAACGCTTTTTCAAATGTACCAAATCCGTGCATATAATATTATTTTAAGTTTCGTCGACAGCCACGTCGTCAGTACCTGACATGCCCTGCTGGCAGAAAATCCCCCAAACGCTTATGTAATTGTCCAGAATGATCTGCATCGCAATACGACATCTCGTCTTCATAAGAGTCAGAATTATTGGGGCGGTTAGGATGATGCACACTATCCCCGTCCAAATGTCTCTGTTGAACGCCTGGGCACAGAAATATCGGCGTGACGGACGAGTCGGTGAAACGTGAAATAAACACGACGCGTGCGAACGTAATTATCCTTTGCCACGGGTAGAAACATTTCACACCGGTCTGGCATCGATTTTTCCCTGGACAAAGGAAGGTGTCCGCGAGCTTGTCGATAAACAACGTTATTAAAATAACAACGAAACCTTGAAGTAGGAGGACCACTGTACAGATGAACTGTCGGGCTTCTTGAAATACACTCTGTTCCGCGACAGTATTAACGGCAACGTGAAGTCCACCACGTCCAGCCGATGGTTGGTTATGCTGAATTCAGCGACCCCGATGTCGACCACATGCGAGACCACCTCGCCTATCACGCCTGTCCAGCTTTGTGTCTCTTCGTTCCAGTTGCCGTACGCGGTCATAGCGTGCACCACTTCCAGCGTGAAGTTCAGCGATTTGCTAAGCTCGTGGACCACTGCGCCAAGAAACTGCGTGAAGACGCCATCCTTCATCGCGACGAACGTGGACTCCTTGAACACGTTAGAATCGTAAATTGAACCTACAACCTACAATCCGTTGAATCTTTCACTACCACCCTTTAAAACTCGACTTATACCACACTGCTAAAGACCTACTGTCGTCTTAAAAATTTAGTAAATCATTAGTAAATAAATAAAGATATTTGACGTTCCGTTGCATGGGAAATGTTCAACAAACATCACGGTATTTACCAACGAGCCGGAATATTTAACTGTCTCGCCTATAAAATTTTCTATTAGAATTTTTTAACTCCCCACTGGGATATGTATGTCCCATTGGTAGTGAAAGGGTTAAAACGCTCCGTCGTTGTTATTTCGATAAATCACCGTGAAAATTGTGAACCGTTTGAAGAAATTATTACTCCCGTAAATCATTCGCCGTTTCTGATTCGATTCGGTTATCATGATATTCAAGAAAATTTATTCCAACCGCTGGCAATTCTCGTGCACCTACCTCGACGTACGCTGTACGCAGAACTTCTCCGTACAAGTTGTTCCTCCTTGTGTACAAGCTGTTTTCCATTTTCGAGCGGAATCTCTGGCCACGCTTCCAAACAGCCAAATCAGAGACCCTGGTGCGATTGTCCTGTAACGCGTACCATTCCGTCAGAACCGGCTGATCGTAACAGAGCACCAGCATCTCGGTGTTGAAGATCAGATTGAACGGGTTCCCAATTGGGTTCCGACAGAAACCCTTCATCGGATTCTCTCGATACGGCAGGAACATCACGAACCAGACGGGAAAAGAGATATCGATCTGTCTGGTCACCTTCCCGAACTCGCTCATGGTCTCATTTGCTGTGAGAAGGACGACATACAACGGACGCGCGGTACGACCTTGGTATTTCTTGGTTTCACGGGGAACGTCGGAAAAGCTGACGATCATGGTCATGATGCCACCGCGGGAGAACGATCGGGACCATATTTGCGTAACCGTTGTCTCATTGAAATCTGAAACAATAATTATTTGGAAATATGATCGGTTTTTTTGAGTATAAGTCTCCATTTCCAAAAGAACGGGTTAAAAAAAATTCGAAAATAGATTTATGCCAATTTAGAAAATAAATGGTCAAAAACTATTATAATTATAAAAAAGCACCACTCTATTCATAATTTAATACACTGTTTGGCATAACTATAGAACCACCCTAAGATTTTCAATCCCTTCTTATCCTCCCTTTTTCAATGGAATATAATCTTTTTTTGCAGAGACGTTATTTCGCAACACGATTTCAGATATGGCATACCTGGTTCGTTTTTATTTTAACCACAATACATAAGAATTGAATATTCTAGGGTGATTGTATAGTTATGCGAAACAGTGTACCATCGACAGTGTGAGCGATAATAGAGTTCGTCAAATATATTTTCAAAGAGTACGAACTTACCGCTAGATCGGTTGGAATGCACGATCATGATGCAGGACGTTCCATAATAGTTGTGAATATCCGTAATCAGTAGAATGTAATTATAACTGTCATTTACATCCATGGAAAATGCAGCAATGGACAAGATCAGTAGGACACCGATATCGCGGTAATAGAACCGTGCCATCTCGTTCGAGGAGGCGACATTTATTCGTTGAATAGCTTAAAATTATCCGAAATCATTTCATCCCTACTCAGAGCCAAACATCGAAATTATCCGTATTGTTCGTTTTCACTGACAGTTCATCGAACGGACCGCAAAATTCCAACAATTGCGAACCTCGTCGCAATTCTTTTCCCTCTCGCGATTCCAGACCGCTTCTAACGATGACTGGCTAAAGTGAAAAAAAAAAATCCCCCGGGCAAACCGTGACGCGACGGACGTTCGAATTTATCGAATCTGTGGATCTAGAAGCGAAGGCAGTGGCTCATTACGAGCGGAACACAACGTCCCACATTAGCCGCTACCAAGCGCAACCATACAGGTTATGGCACAAATCGTACAAAGATTAGCACCGATAAGAATGTGTACGCGCGTGTTTATATCAGAAAATAAATCGCAGTTCGTTAACGTTTTCTTCGTTCGTTTCAGTAGATTTCACGGCGACAAATAGAATGATTTTGATGAATTCCGCATCGTGCGTTTCAGGGGGAGAAAATAATAGACTCGAGGATGGAGGGGATTCAATCGTAACTGGACACGACTGAAATCACGCGCCTAATTAAACACATTTATTTGAAAACTAACGAATTGGACAATTTTATAGTGCACACGTGCATGTCCCTTCGTGCGTGCTGAAATTGATACTGACGATCTGTGAAGCACAAAAATAGACTGACTATTGACTGTGACGGTGATCAGAATCTTGGACGTTTATAGTTATGGAAACATATCTCTACGGTCAGTGTTACGAGCGCAACTATAACGGCGCATATGAAGGCCATTAGAACGGATACGATGTTGCCGAATTCAACCGGCTGAAACGCGGGTTCCTGCCTGAAAACTTCTCGGTTTATGTAACGATTCAACACGCCGGTGCTCAGTAATTTTTGAAGGCTGCAACGAAACATAATTTTTTTTCATGGAATCGTTTACTTTGAACGTGGAATATAGTATTGTTCTGGTGGATACAGACTGGTAATTGAAAACAGGCGTGTACTGATTATCCTTCGTCAAGATCATAGACATACTCTCCATTCGGCCGACGTAAATACTGAAGACAGTGCACGGTATATAAACATCTGCCGATCTCTTTTGCACATGATGACCGAAAGCGGTGTAAAACGCCAACTTGTTGTCGTTGCAGATCTACAAACATTCGAATCCAACGTTTATGCAATTCCGTGCTGTTCTGTTCAAAGCGAATAACATTAAACACCCTCTTAAGGTCAAACCTACACTCTTAAATCCGGTTATCATATCCATCGGTTGACTGTCCTCCGATTTCATTAATTTCTGCATGTTATTCGAGAGATGATCGTTCGAAGACTGAAAATACAATTAGATTTCGTTCTCATGGTTACCTGAATGCTTCTCCATTTTGCAACCCTTGAGAAAGTCGGTTCTGTTTAATGCGCATAGTTTCGCCAAGGTTATCTTCGTGTTTTTATTACATAGCATGGGTACATAATTTTCGGACCATAAATCATCGTTGTCATCGATGTTCTACGAGAACTTATCACTATATAAAAATTGCTCTTTGAATCATTTTCTAAAAAATTACTCAAATAAAATCCAAGTCTAATGTATATGAAAAATTACTATGTTCTGCTCCTGTACATAAAACTGTAGGTGTTTTAATTTTTGATCGAATTTATCTTAAACAAGTTTATCGCACGCCGCCCCTTTGTAACATATTGTAATGTTATCGGAATTGAAAGCAAAACACCCTTTCCACACGGCCGTTTCCAGTTATGTCATTTCGATTCATCGTGTTACACTGTTCAACGCCCGTGACGTGAATTCATTTACTCGGTGAGCAAAAGTGAAAGCATATCATGTCAAAATTTTCTGTTATCGGACAAACTTACGAAAGCCATGTGGTATTCCGCGGATCCTTTTATCGCGATTACCCTATACGTGCCGTCTTTTAAAAACTCGTCGACTGTCCTGAACGGTGCGTCTACAATGCGAGCTGTCATAAAGCACGTCAATGACGCAGAGTAAGTGGAGGATATCACTAAAGCTAAGATGAATACGCTGAAATACGCTAGCTTCAGTGACGAGTTCCGTGGAAATTCTGAAAAAGAACAACCGTGATGAAATCCCCAGCGAACGCTTCGTAACGAAAACCTTGAATGCAAAATATAAACGAAAAAGTAACGCGTTCACATATGCATGTATCTACATTATATGAAAAATGTATCCTGATTAAATATAAACAAGGTTGAAACTTTTTAGAAATTTGAAATAGTGTATATGTACCGACGATTTCTAAAACTCTAAAAGTGTTTATCGATTAACAAACCATTATCAGCCGATATTTCGCCGGGCCAATTCATTCTCTTGACGAAGGGACAATAATTTTTACGAAAGCAAACAACACAAATGGGCATACAATATAAAAACCTATTAATTTACCTGTCAAACCTTGGAGGCAAACGATACCCCATACTCGAAGACATTCTTCGTACATGACCTGTGTTATAGGCAATGAATTTACCCAGCGCCTCATAAAAGACGTAATAATCTGGGCGACAAATAGTAAACCAATTAGGGAGATCCAGACTGTGGGAGTGAAGCACTGTTGGAGAGGAATTCTAAATATTACAGGACGTCAATGCTCGATTAATTAAACGACCAGTGGCAGATTCAGAGTGGGCGATGGTGGTGTTTGTCTCCCTCCCCCTAATATTTGTAAAAGATGGTTCCAAAAGATGTACATATGTATTAAAGACATTTTTTATGAAAATTTGAATTTTTCAGCAATCTTTAAATTTCAACTAATACTGAATTTAACTATTATTTTTCTACTATCAAACAAAAAATGATCCGATTCGCATTGGTCTACCCTACTTTTACACATTTCGCCACCCGTCTCCCCCCAAAGAAAGGTTCTCGGATCCGCCACTGTAAAAGGACAAACACATATAAATAAATCTATGTCGTACCTTGAAGTAAGCGAACCACTTGACAGCGAATATCGCTGGTTGCTTGTAAAACAAATTCTGCCGAACAGTCAATAAGGGAACCGTGAAATCAACGTAATCGAGCCGGTCGTTTGTCATCGAAAAGTCGCATACACCGATGTCCGCCTTCCCCGTAACCACTGAACGCATCGCTCCGCTCCAACTTTTTGTTGTTTCGTTGAAGTTCCCGTATTCGATTTCCTCGGCCACGATTTCAATAGTGAAGTTCAAAGCATGCTCCAGCTCTCTCATGATTTTTCCGAAATATCCGTACACTTCCTTATCGTATACTTTGAGCAATATCGAGGTCTATAGATGAAAGTGAATTTTTTTCATAAAAAGACCTTCTAAAAGAACTTTCTACCAAACTTTTACTCTATTATCTCTAAACGCTGCGTAAGAAGACGAAATGTTTAAAAATTACGTATCTTCGAAATAATGAATAATGAAAAATAAAGTAGTAAAGTGGCAGAATTTAAAATACCCTCAGTGATCTGAAATCTGGAGAGTGAAACTAAATCGTTGATCATAGTGCTATCGATTACAACATGAGAAAACAAGTGCTCTATTAGCACCGTAACCGGCATGTCACCCAAATGTGGGTATGTGGGTGACACGTAAATTCTAACGAGGCTGTATTATTTAAACACCGTTACAAAATTTTGCGTAAAATAAAATCGCAATATAATTTAAAACAAGATCAGCAACCTCTATTAACTAAACGCATATATTTTTAACCATTTACAATGTCTTAAAAAACGAAGTAAAGTATGTCTGGCTACGTACGGCCGATTCCACTGTGGCAAGCTACGTGTTACCATGAACGGTAGAAGATTTCCCAAGACAATTTTCTTTTTTATTTGATTATATATACCGAATTTTGATTGCATTTCTAAGGAACTCTTACTTGAACGGTGACTCCTCGCAGAACGATGCCCTTCAAATCATTCCTTCTCTCGTACAGGCTCAAGTTCGTGAATAACTCTATGCTCTGTGGCGAATTCACGTCCCACTTACCCAGCTTGAATATCTCTGTGCTTTTTCGATCCACGGAATACCATTCGTATAAAACATTATCCCCGGGACACATTACCAACATTTTAGTATTGAACGCCAGATGAAACGGATTTCCGGATGGTCTGTAACAATAATCGTGCAATGCGTTTTCCGGCGTTGGTAAGAACACGACAAACCACGCGGGGCAGGACATTTTGAAGTTTTTCGTGATCTTCGAGAACTCGTTGTACGCGTGCGGTCCAGGTATCAGGACGACGATGAGCGGTCGTACCATGCTGCCGCAATTTTTAGATAAGGCGTTCATGTTTTCGAACGTGATACTCGAGATGGCAATGTGGTTTTTTTGAAGGAGACGGGTCCATGTGTGCGTTAAGTGTCTTACTACGAACACTGAACGACATAAGAATGCAATTAGGAGAAATTATATATGTATATGATAGTTTAAATAAGATTAATAAGAGCAAGGGATCGTAATGAAATAATTATTAATTCGTACCATCGAAATCTTTATGATCGTTGACCGGCTGTACGAAAACAATGGCGTGTGCGAAATAGTACTTGCGAATGGTTTTTAACAATGGTATGTATCCCACCTCCTTGATAGGCATATCTGCCACTGACAAATAGATACCGAAAGAAACAAAATACAGATACGTCAGAAGTCTCATTTTATACGAGCCTTTCCACGTTCTCTTATTGTAAGAGCTGTTACCGAACGTCGCACCACGGTCTCGAGCGCAAATGACTGAATTTCCGTAAGTGTAGAGAAGCACTTTTATGGTGGATAATTCGAGCGTATGCAGGGACGAACATAAAATATTGAAGACACGCTCGTGTAATACTCTTTATCCCGATAACGTATGCCCCTTAAAATACGACACTAGACGAACGCGATGGTAATCGAATATTAAATGGAATTTAATAATGTCATGGTAATGCAGAAAACGGTAAGTTGGTTGATAATTTATAGAATGCACGGGAGATATGGAGCATAGCAAAATAGCTTGAGAAGATAATAGATTACAATAATAACGCGCACTTGACGGCCTCGTTGAAAAACTTAATTATGGTGTTGCGTACGAAAACATTTATGCGAATGTTCGTGAAAACATTTCTGGTATCGGAATATCCTGCAAGTACATAATTCGTTTCGGAAAGCCCCTTGGTTGATCGAACCTGCGGATCCGAGTCTGACACGTCTATCGCACAGAAAATACATTCCAATATGCAGTAACCTGATATAAACGATCGCATCGATCTACATTCCATTAGAAAATTACTACCAGACTTTTACTTTTTTCTGACGTTGAACGATTGCGCGTAAGCGGAGAGCATCGTTATTTTTACGCGTTCACGTTATAATGACCACGATATTTTACATAATGATCGCAGCTAAAGAACGGGTTTTTCAATTATATATCTACGTGCGTTCTTGTCGATTTCATAGAACTGAATTACGTTAAATGTAGAGCGAGTTAAATGTGTTCCGATGAAACGACATTGTATAAATACGTGATATTTAATGTTACCCTTCGTCTAATTCAAACACATTATATAAAGAAGAATGCTCAGAACACTGCGCTTCCATAATAATTTAAACGTAATTATATTCAATAAAACTCCGCGATAATACTCAAATTCGTTATCCAACAAAATGTGTTCGAGCATGTAAAGCGCTATAAGTAGACTGCGGATTGTATGCATTTGTATTCTAGCACATAAGGTTAATAGAATAAAGAAATTATAATAAATAATAATAAAATTTTTCTTAATAAATTTTTTTATCGCGTTATTAGATAAAAAAAGACGAATAAAAAGAGAACGTGTAAAAAGTAACATTATTGAAGTGTCCATTAACGATATTATTGATTTAGAATAAGTTATAGTTTTGTTATAGATGAGTCAAAAAATATATACGTACTTTCGTGACTACAGATGTCTGTAGTCACTGGTATCGTATTCATACTTTAAACCGTAGTATCGGATATTTTGATTCCCGCCATATCATATTAGATATACGTACATAATATAAATGGAATATATAATGCTCCATTTGTGCCAATAATACTCAGAATTTATGCTTTATCGGTAACGTCGGGTATTAACAATGAAATGGTAAGGACTTTAGAGAGGAGCCTTGAGAGCATGTGACAAAAAATTACATTTCATGTAGGTCTATTCTATATCTCGTCTGTGATGATAAATTTATCAAAAATGTATCAAAAATAATACAAGAACGTACTTTACGTCTACACGAAGCAGGAAGAATGACGAACGAAAACTATGTTCAGCGCTTAAGTAACGCTATCCCCACTCACTACGTAAAACGTCATACATACATATATGTATACATACATATGTCAACGGCGTGTCCCACCACAAACACTGGAATGTTAGAGAAAAAGGTCAAGCAGTTAACAGTCTTGTTATCATATTAGAATTTAAATATTAATATTTAATGAGTTATCTCATAGTAACTTTGTCATACATATTTTACTGCGAGTGTATACATATATCGTAATCCATGAATACACGTAACAAACAATATAAAAGTGAAACTGTTAACGATTCTGTTATTAAATATTACGACGCAGTTGATATTCTTACTAATTATTAAATATTTACGTAAGACGACTAACTGGTCATTTAAATATATTTATACAAATTAATTAAGAGTGTCAACTATTAATAGGTCTATAACATTTGTATTGTGATTCTAGATCTTTCGCTGGAATACATACGTATATACATATGTATGTATGTATCTACACATTTGTAAGTGTATATTAATCGGTTAACAAGTTTTAACATTATAATAAGTTATGACAAAATCTACTTTCCAAAATATTACTATACTTAACGCTTAATTTTTCGGCATTTAGATAAAATTATTTTATAATATCGATTGTAAAAAATAAAGAACTCTGAAAGCTATAAAGACATATGTATGTGTTTTCTTGAAGAGTGCATCCCTTATTACCACTAGTAATTACAATAAAATATCGTTTGAATTATAAACATGACAATAAATAACTAAAACGTGATAAAACACATCAAGGGCAATCCTATCATATGATGCAACAATGCTTGTTTGCATGATGATTTAAAGTTAGTGGTGTATATCGTGAATCATCGATCTTACACATAGAGGCCACGGGATCATCTGTCCAATTTCGCATTTCATTCAAAAATGGCGCCGCTTTGGGTATTGGAAAGTTTGTCATTAGTGCGTGTAAAATGAATTTTATAGGTATACAAGACAATTGTCTCTCAACAAGAGACGATCGAGATAATGTAAAAAAGCATTGTAGCTGGTAAAATGTAGAAAGAAATTCAATTGAAACCATATTTCCAGAAAGCGCCATTTTGTGTTGACTACGCAGAACGAGTCTGACGTGTGTAGGTATCGTTACCTATAAAAGAGTCATAACAGAATCGTCAGGACATACGGAAGCAGAATTTTGAAAGAAGAACAATTGTGACTCCGTGCTGGTTAGTGCTACTATTATATTCGATAAAACTTTACGATTGCACCTTACAAAAACTATAATTCTTAGTGTAAGCAGTAGAACGCGATAATTTACATTTTTGTTTGGGTTAATATGAAAATTGGAAAAAGAAATCGACCGATCGGGTATCAGCCCCGAAAACGAATCCGAGTGTTTCATTTTCCGAGCGATTGTTTCAACCAACTAAATTATTTGGACCGCTGACGGTTCTTTTCGTAATTCATACACATATGTCATATGACATATGTAATCCAAACAAATATGGCTACTGGGCTGTACCGTTTACATTAAGATGTCAATTTCTTTATTATGTAGATTTGGTTGTTAAAATGGTTTGGAGTAAAGATGTTAAAGTGTCCTTACAAAATAATGATGGTTCCATAAAAGAAATTCGGAGATTTATTTATAACGACCTTATGGTAGTAACTTTTGACGATGTTTATAAGAAGATAAGAAGTTTATTTCCCGAACTGCATAACAAGGACTTCATAATATTATGGATAGGTAATTTTTTTTCTATACAATAACTACGTCACTTTGCTTATTATAATAAAGAAGGCATCATGAAAATTTGTATGCTTTAATTGAAAATTTAATTTTCTAATAATATCAGTAAGTTTTTTAATCAAAATTTTGAATTTTCAGATGATGAGAATGATAAAATTACAGTGGCAAGCAATGATGAATTTGCTAGTGTTAAAAAAACAATTGATAAGAAGTTCATAGAAATTCTTCGGCTGTACATACAGGTACCTAATGAAAATAAAAAAGTATCACCTCCTAAGGAGGAAGGAGTGTTTCATTTCAATATAGCATGTGATGGATGTAATAGTGATATATTAGGATTTCGATACAAATGTATACAATGTGACAATTTTGATCTGTGTTCACAATGTGAAGCTTTAAATCTACACGCAGATCATTGGATGATACGTATGCCGCGAGAATTAGAATGGTCATCTCATCATGGCCGAGCTTTGCTGCATCATATAAGAAAATTTATCAGAAGAAGTGAAACACGTTTACGTAAAGACAATCTGAATGAGTGCCCAATGAGAAGATGCCATGAACCATCTGCAAATAATCCTAATCTATTTTCTTTATTCGATAAGTTTGTACCATACTTCAATGGTTCCAATGACAGAAAGACAGAAGCAAATGCTGATGATGCAGGTGCTTCTAAAGAAGCACCAGCACAAGAAGATAAGGAGAACGTGAAAACCCAACAAGTATTTAAACTTTTAAAAAAAGATATTACACAATTTCTAGATCCATTTGGAATAAACATTGACATTCAAATTGACGATAACAACACAAATGTACCTCAAACAGATGAACAAAAAAAAGAAGAAAAATCAAAAGAAAATGTGTCGAATGTAACAAATGTAGATCCTTCTAAACAATTTCCAAAAGAAAGTAGAAAGTCGACTGATTCTATTGATGATAACACATGTGAGTCTGATGCTACATCAGCTGTACATCAAGATACAACTACTCCAAAGACTTTACCAACAGACGAATGGACAATTGTAGATAAAAGTGATGCTTCTGACATCAGTTCTTCATCTTCAGTTTCATCCAGTTTAAGTAAGATGCCTGAAACTCAAGTAAGTCACAGAAAAGTAATTTACAATAATAAATATTAAATGTATAGAATTTTAATAATTACACCCTGTATCTTATTAGGTTTCTTCATCTGAATTGGCATCTCCAACAGCACCAAAAGAAGATTCATCACGTCAGAAAATTTATCCTGAATTACCAAAAGAGGAAAGAGTATTTCATCCCGATCCAGTAATTCATAATGCTCTCCAAACTATGATATTAATGGGATTTTCAAACAATGGAGGGATACTAACTTCTTTGTTAGAAACTGAAGGTGGGAACATCAATAAAGTTTTGGATATACTTCAATCTGGACAGCAGTAAACACAGATTTCAAAACTTATAATATACATATATAGTAGTTCATATATAGTTGATTTTGAATACATGTATAAATATTGTAACCTCTCAGAAGTATATTTTATTTGCAAAATTGAAATAGATAATCCTATATATCACCATTTGTAGTATTAATTAATATAGGTTGTAGTTACAGATCAACATTCCTTCTAAATTACTGTATCATTTAAATCAATAAAGTACATAATAATACATTCTTTGTTGTTCACTATATGACCAAAAATTCGTAGGAAAAATAATGAAATAATCACATTACAGTAATAAGTATAAAAGGAACCCTTTCAACTTTCGTAACAACCACTTTTATTTATTTTATAAAGGTTTACAATAATGCCAAAGGTCATATGGATTCCTATTTGACAGTAATTCTAATTCCTTGACCCCTTCTGGAGTGATCTCTCTAATCCATTTTCTATCTTTATAATATTCTATAATGGTATTAAATTCATCCTGAGTGTAATTTTCAATACTAATTGGAAGGAAAGGATCTAAAAGTTCAAATCCTTCTTTGCCAAGTAAATACTTTGGATATATAGATTCTCTATTATACTAGAAACAGAAACAGTTGATGATAAGTATTCTGAACAGTAGTATACCTTATGTGTTACATGACAATTGCCTGTATACCTTAACTGCTCTTGTATCCACTGATAGTATAGCCGCACCATTACACCAATCCTGATTTACAGCACTCAAAAGTGATTTTGTTAGTGATATCGTTTTGGGTGGTACATGCACCTTGTTTTCATCACGAATTGATGTATAATCAGCAGTCAATGCATTAAAACCAGTCATAACAGTCAACACTTTGCATTTGCCAGCTATACTAGCTCCCTTAAGTTCATTCACCAAAGCATCAATAACTCCGCAGGCAAATTTAAGTCGATGTATCCCAAAATCAATAAGATTAGAAAGTGATTCTCCACACTTTGTACTTTCTCGTGCACTCCATGTATAATCCTTAGAAACTTCCAACTGCAAAACAATTATTTTAATTACATGTAACACTGAAAATTATATTGTGTTTACTTACATGAAGTTCTTTAAATACTGGCGCATTTAAATTTTTGAAATATTTTAACCATGTTCCTGCATGAATAGTTAAGTCTATTTTATCTGGTTCCAATGGGGAATTTGCAATTTCTTTTGGAAATCTAAACCAAGTATTAACTAAAAATATGAAACAGAACAATATTATGCAGGTGATATAAATATACATTGCTAAAACTCTGCTTGTTACCTGATGGTACATGAAGAACAATGAACTTTTTTGCAAGACCATAGTGAATTAAATGCAATATGGTTGATGTTTTTCCTACACCGTCTCTACCATCTAACCATTACAATTGTAATAAAAATATAGTTGTATATATATTTCATTAATCCTCTCTGGATGAGAATTCAATAAAATGTATTTAGCAATGCTCTTTATTTGGCAGCATTTGCTATTAGGTTGCATACTACATAATCTCAAATTATGATTAAAAAGTTAAAAAGGATACATATAACATATTTATTTATAGGTCTTGTGTAATCTGTCTGTTCAAGATATGATATTATTTCAACTGCAGGTTTCCTAATTAAAATACCAAATTCTGCAAAAATCTTTATTTGTTGCTTCCATTCATTTGGTATATTGTTTTGTAATACTTGGTGATCCTCAAATGGTACTGTATATATTCGACCCAAGTGACTTTCAGTATGATTTGGAGGATACGTTTCAAAGGTACGGAAGGGCTCAATTTCAGTATTCTGAAGTTTTGTTGCAGTTGCTGTAGTATATGTTCGTCGTCCACTAGTAAGGCATATTCGTCTGAGTAATGAATCTAACAGAGTAAGAGATTCATAAGAATAATAACATATAACGAAAATGTTTCAAACGGTTTATGATAGCATGTGATAATTAAAAATATAGAGTGAAAAGTAAATTAACCTAACGTCTATAACACTTTACATTCAACTATATAAATAAAAAAAAGCGTACAGGTACAAACTGACATCATGTTGTCTATAATATCACAAGTAATATTATTTGAGTTTCTTTCTTATTTAAACAGTTTTAAAACATGTTCATTAAACGCACAGCAATTGCAGACAATACGCAACAAACTTAATATACGTATTTTACTGCATAGTTTGTGCCAGTTGTGCACTTACAATATTACCACGGTTACCATTTCAATCGATTGTATAAGATGTCCCTATTTACAAATATTTATGATTAATATGTATAACTTTACTTAAGTTTGTATAATAATTTAATTCACAGTCTAAATTAAATTGAATTAATCCTCTTAATAATACTTATAAGTATTATCAGGTACTATATATGCAAGTAAGAATCTAGTAATGTTTACTTTGCATTCGGCACACCTAGAAGCATACCATCAGCGACAAAGATTGACGCACGGATTACTCCGAAGTTATTCGTGAATTGACGTTAGGAATGGTTAGGAACATGTTGGCGGCAGATTGCAGGTTAACGAATACATAACACTGCCAGAAAACAATAACTTTAGCAAGTCAAATAAAAATGAATTTAGAATTATTAGGTAAGATTTCATAAATATTTATTTGAAAGCATAGTAAAACTGTTATAATTTTACTGAAGTTTCGCTTTTTCAGAATCGTTTGGACAGAATTATCCAGAGGTAAGATGCATCTATTAGAATGCATTGTGCATTTTTAATTTACTAACGTTACAATGTTTATAATTATTAGGAATTTGATGGTACATTAGACTGTATATCATTAGCGGTAACTTGTACCTTCAACAAGAGGGGAACTCTTCTTGCTGTTGGGTGTAACGATGGTAGAATTGTCATTTGGGATTTTTTAACACGAGGTGTTGCAAAAATCATTAGTGCACATGTACATCCAGTATGCTCATTAAGGTAAATTATTTAAAATCAGAATATACAATCATATCATTAAGTACACTTTAATACTATGTTACTAATATTTTCTTCAAATAGTTGGTCTAGGAATGGGCATAAATTATTAAGTGCCTCTACAGACAATAATGTTTGCATATGGGATGTTTTATCAGGGGAATGTGATCAAAAATACAGATTTCCTTCACCTATATTAAAAGTACAATTTCATCCAAGAAATCTTAACAAATTCTTAGTATGTCCAATGAGACATGCAGCAGTAATGGTTGATGTTGAGGGTTCACATAGAGTTATACCTCTTGATGATGATGTATGTACATATGTATATGTAATATAACTGTGTAATACTTTCAACATTTATTTACAATAGTTTTATTGCAGAGTGATTTAAATATAGTAGCATCTTTTGATCGACGTGGAGATTATGTATATACTGGAAATGCTCGTGGTAGAATTCTAGTCCTTGATGCAGAATCTCTAACTGTAAAAGCATCATATAAAATATCACAAGGCACTGCAAGTAATACAGCTGTAAAAAGTATTGAATTTGCAAGGCGAGGTTCCTGTTTTTTAGTAAATACATCAGATAGAGTAATTCGAGTGTACGATAGTACAGAAGTATTAGCATGTGGTAAAGATGGTGAACCTGAACCAATACAAAAATTACAAGACCTTGTGAACAAAACTATGTGGAAAAAATGTTGCTTTTCTGGAGATGGAGAGTATGTATGTGCTGGATCCGCAAGACAACATGCTTTATATGTGTGGGAGAAGAGTATTGGAAATCTAGTAAAAATTTTACATGGAACTAAGGGAGAATTATTACTTGATGTTGTGGTAAATAAGTAACTTTTATTTCATTAACATAAAATGGTCCATAAATTAACTACAAAAAATCACTTTGATATAGTGGCATCCTGTGAGACCAATTATTGCTTCTATATCATCTGGTGTAGTTTCTATTTGGGCACAAAATCAAGTTGAGAATTGGTCTGCATTTGCGCCAGATTTTAAGGAATTGGATGAAAATGTTGAGTATGAAGAAAGGGAGAGTGAATTTGATTTGAGCGATGAAGATAAGTCTGTAGTCCAAGGTGAAGAAGCCCAGGATGAAGAGATTGAAGTAGATGTTGCATCTATTGATAGAGTTGCTGCTTTTTGTAGCTCTGATGAGGAAATGGAAGATATTGGTTCACTGCAATTTTTACCAATATCACCAGATGTAGAAGATTCAGAAGATAATCAAACAACGCCTCATGAACCACCTATGAAAAAGCATCGTTCTCATGATATTAATTTGCAGGGAGCACCTGTAGATGGTAATGTTTGAAACAGAAAATTCTGACGCAATAGTTAGTTTATTCAATTTATTATCAATACTTTTGTTTCTAGAAACTCATCCATTATTGAATAAAGGAAAAGATAAACCAACAACTAAAAAAGGAAGGCCACGATTGGAGCACAGAAAGGGGAAATAATTCAGAATGTATTCTTTGTACATTCTTAGTATCAGCAACTATATTATAATGTACAGATTGTTTAAAAATACTTTAAACATATTATCAATTCTGGTAATATTTTATAATTGTAATATATATCATAAAATGTTTACTACTTCCTATGGAATGTACCTTACATATTATTACATGCATCATTTGTGCATCAATGTGTTTTGATATTGAATAGCTGTATGAGAAATTATGCTGTACATGTTAACATAGATAAAAATTTTCAATTTCATATCCATCTTATAAATAAAAAGGCATACTTACTCTAAATTAAAGTATTTTCTATTCTAAATGATTATTATTTACGTAAATTTTACGGGATTGTTAAATAGACTGATGAAAAAAATTAATAAAATATATTTTTTTCAAACATCTAGAAAAGTACCTAACATTATTGTTCCATGCACTATCATTGTGGTAACGTTGTTATTGCCACGTGACCTGCGAAATGTGATTCAGTTAACCTATACTTTAGTACCAAATAATTTAAAAAGAAAACTAATTGATTGATAAATGATTTATCTTATCTCATGTAACAATTCCTGAAAGCGCAATTAAAATTGCGCAGTGATCAGACCAACTTCTTCCTCAAAGTGAATTAAATCGTCTGCAATGTTGACGTCGAGGTTATTGGAACAAGTAAATAAAAAATGGTTTAGCGTTCAGAAGAAAACGACAAGAGGTGTACAGTCTGCCAGAGATGTAATATTAAGTGGTGGAATTATTATCATTAGCGGAGTCCTTATTGTTTGGTTATCAGTTTTCCTCTACACTGCATTCTACTATGCATACATGCCGAGTATGTCCTATATACGCCCGGTGCATCTACAATTCAAGTGAGCTTATCACTTGTACGTTAGTTAAGTAGAAAGATTCGGCATATAATAGATCATACTGCTTTCTGTGTTTTATATAATCTCATAAAGTATATGTTATATGTAAATGTTGATTAAATTGTCCTTTATTATTACAGGTCATGCAATGAACAGAAAGGAATTTGTAGCTTCCCATCAGCATATGTACAGTTAACAAACAAGCAACAACTTCTTATGGTTGGACAACCATATAAAGTGAATCTGCATTTAGAAATGCCAGAATCGCCAGCCAATAAAGAACTTGGTAATATATATTTATTATAAAACTTCATTTTTTAAACAAATATAAAACTATAATCACTTATTTGTATTCTAATTTCTATTTTTTGTGTAGGTATGTTTATGGTTTGTGCACAACTACACAGCAGAGATGGTTTCCTTGTGGAGCATGCATGTAGATCTGCTATGATGCATTATCGCAGTACATTGCTACATGCACTTACAACTTTTACATTTTCACCTATGATGATTTTTGGTACTACAGAAGAAAAGCAAAATGTAGTTTTAGAATTATTTGGTAATTTCGAAGAAGATCAGAGCCATCCAGTTACAGTAATATACATTGAAATACAGTCAAGACATATTGAATTTTATTCAGCAACAGTTATGATAAATGCTCACTTATCTGGTTTACGTTATCTTATGTTTCATTGGCCGATTTTGTCTGCTATTGTTGGAATCGGTACAAATTTGTTTTTCATAGCTCTTGTCTGCACTCTTTCTTACCTTCACTTTACAACTTATGAAGATACTGGAGACGATAGTTTTATTTATGAAGAAGAAAAGAAAACAGAAGAAAAAGATGAACATGAAAAGAATTCTACTACAGATGAAGGAAAGGAACGTAAAAATAGTCAAGATCGTAGGTTACTCTTTTTCATTTTCATTAATAAAGTTTTGCATATTTATCACTATAGAATCACTATTAAAGTATTTCATTTTTTCTAGAACCATCTGATTCATCATCAGAAGAGAATTTTGCATTACCAGATTTTCTTGAGACTGAAGGTGAATCTCAGTCTTCACATATTGAACTATTGAAGTAATTTACTGTGCATTCCAATAGATATACGAAAATATGAATAATTTTTAACCAAAATAAGTAAATAATAAGAAAGTATGTCACGCAACTAATGTTCAAGAAGATAGATGTTTTCCACAAAGAAAGAAGTAATACTTAGTACGCAATTTTCTACTATATGCTTAGACTTTTCTATAGATAAATATACTACGGTATATAAACATATCATAAGAATATTTATTTTTTTATATTAAGATACTTTGATATCTCCTTGAATTGTACTATAAACAACTGAATCTTATCTATAATAAAATAACTTGCAAAAGTTATATATTTGATAAATCTATCATGTATGTTATAAGCATATAAGCCTAAGTTTCACTTACAAAATTTTATTTTATATGAAAAGTCGTCTACAACCTGAGTTGTCTGTTAATTATACGATTTATTTATTATAAAATTAAAGAATAAAATTCAACTTGAAAGGTGGATTTGCATTATCTAATGAAGGAATGTCCTTTTTTAATGTACATTGTGTCGTATTTCTCAGATCAACTAGAGATATTACCAACGAGGTCTGGGTTAAAATTAATGAACATTTTGCCCATTTTGTCTTAATTAATTGTAATCCAGATGAAAGTCATTACTACTTACGGCGAAACGTATATTTGTGAGTGTATTATGCACATACACATACATATATGTAGGTAGGTTCTAGTTTCTCGTGCCGTAATACAGAGAGGAAGTGTGCTTGGTACCCAATGACTCGGCATGCGGTTCCAGTATTCCAAGTTGCAACTTTTCATAACAAACAAAATTATTAACAACTCGTGGTTTTATGTTGATTTTTACGCATTAACTGACGTGTAAAAGATTTATGGAAAGATGCCTTAAGCTGTTTTATGATAGACTCGAAATTTATTTTTTCGCGCTTAAATCGACAGCGCCATCTGCTGAAGTAAAAGAAAATCAGAATCGATTTAAAACGATATTTCGAATATCGTTTTCAACGGTTTTACGTGAGCACCTTAATTGTTGCTGTACGTACATTATTTTCCAACAACAACTGTAACAAAATATAATAGGTATGTATATTAAGAATTGTAATACAATATCTTCGGAAAACATATTTTTGTTAAATTCCATAGAATTATTCTGAAACAACATGAAATCATTTTCAAAGGTACATTATCTTTACAATCGGAGGGCGTAGCAGTTAGGTTCCAGATGTACATATACCCACTTGAATTTCATCTAACTAAGGAACTGAAAATTTTGTAGACATTCGTGAGTATCGTAAATAATATACCACTTATAAATATACTGTAATATCAGATAGCACATGACGCCTTGAAGACGGTTTAATGGCACCTTAGACCTAAATTAGCCGTAATTGGGCGTCATGTGTTATTTGGGATATTTATTTCGATTATATGAAGACCTTGATTTTAAACCTTTCTCGTCACAAGGTTAGAGGAAGGGTAGGGAAGAATTACAAAATGAATAATCTTAATAAACACAACTATTGACATTAAATATGTTATTCTCTAGCATTATACGGCTAGTATACATTCATACAATGTTATCTTCACAACAACAAAACCTTTTCAATACCTATAGGAATACCATATAACAATGTTTCTATTCAGTTGTTATTTTTATTTATGTCTACTTCAAAGTATGATATAAGATGATTTTATCCTTTTACGAAGATAGGTTTTGGGAATGGTCAGATTTATAAAACATGTATGTTCGTACATGTACGTAATCCACTAGTACTGAAGGTCTAGAATAAAATCTTTCCAAAAGAAGACTATGCTGTCGAAAAGAAATATGAGTATTACATACTCTATTAACATGTCTGTTTGTCACTTATTGCTTCTATTTAGTTTAACCTCGAAAGTGCGTTCGTTCGATTAATTATATAAGTCAATTTTTTTCAGAAACGAAGTAATAAAGTAAGAACTAAAAAGATTTATTCTGCATTTTTTATTACGTAGATGTAAGGACCACAGTGAGTGTTTCTTGTTCCAAGTGGTCTTGTAGAAAAAGAGTCGAACTGAATTCAATGTCAATGGAAAATCAATTTGTGAGTCCCGATGTTCTTACGTTTCTGGACATTCGACGAGACTCGCTTTCATTTTGGTGGAGTTAGAGAACAGTCTCAGGAGTTTCGTACCGTAGCGACGTCACGAAAGTGCGTTTAATATGTCCCTGGCTGTATAGCGAGTGTTGGCACGTTAAAAACAGAAAAAAAAACAAGAATGACGGACATATGTATATACCGAGAGAAATCTTGCGCATGTAAGTGTCGGATGGGAAAGAGGAGCAGAAAGGGGCTGGGCGCATCTTATGCATTCGTAGGCGCAAGCCGCGTACACACGATGCATAAATACTACGGGGAACCGGTTCCCAGCGTTATCCCAGGCACCGCGCCGTCGCTGCGGTGGGTTAAAAAGGGGGAAGCTCAAAGGAGCAGCACGAATTCGTGGGGTCGCCTTGTGTTTCTCTTGGCTCGTTACTCGAGATTCAGACAGGTGTGCGAGTCTGTCTTTTTCTCTCTCCTCTCATTTCCTCTGTCTCTCCATTACTCTGTTCTCTGAATCTTCTCGAGGGTTCTCGATTCACTTCAAACGAGCGTGTTCTCCGACGCATATACGCGGAGAAGCGAAATTGCGTCAGCTCGATCCGATGCAGGACGAGCAACGTGACGGACAACATTGAAAACCAGATCGATTGATTAACGAAATTGTAGATCACATACGCATACTTTGGAATAGAAATGCAAACCAGCTGTGAACGCGATTTTCCGAATTCAACGATTTTATCGTACCAATCGTGTGCCTTGCCTATTTCACGAAGTTAATCGTGTGATCTTAATGCATTATTCGTCCGACCTGATGACGTTTGTGATAGCTTAAGTACTTCCCCCTGCATAGCCGCACGTGGAGTCTAACGTCAGGCGGTATCGATGCTGCGAATTAAAAGTAGAAACTATTGTCGACGTTCGTCGAATTTTATATATTTCATTCATATTATTCATTCAGATGTTGCGTTTCTTAAGACTCACCTTACGTAGGTTTCAATATTTTCACTGAAAATCACGAAATTGACAAGTCGCACACTCATTCGTGCTATTGTAATTTACAGAGTCGACAGGATCAACACAGACTAATTCTCATCGCTGGCCGAATATACCGAACGAAGTGTCGAACGATTGGACTATGTATTGCTGCGCCGCGTGGAAAAACTGTGATTTATGCTTGGCCATACTGGACTACACTGACGGTCTCTAACGGCTCGCTCCTTCACCATCGGCGAATCGGTATGTGTCACCACATTTTTATACGCTTCGATAAATTGCGTGTGAACCTACAATGAGCTTTTATTATCACATGGTTAATATGTATGTACCTATACGCAATTATTCTATACACGCGTTTCGTTTCCTCTATCCACGTATTCTAGAAACTTTCGAATATACATTCTTGATATAGACTATTCGAAAATTAATCGTGGATCACTTAATCATTATTTTATTTGATTGAAATTGAGAAAACGATCACTGCACACGTTCTCGCTCGTCCAACGTCTGTTTTTGTTCCACAGTTTTAATCGCATGCTGTTGATTTCATAAACATTTTCACATACATATGCATCCCCGATCCTTAATTCAATTTTTCAATGCTGAAAAACTGATCTAAATGCAAATTCGAACATTTCCACGCTTGAAGCGTATTTTTTCTCTGCAAATGAACTACCGGTTCAAACCGCGGCTGGCATTTCCACGGGAAAATTTATCGTCCACGGGAGACGGAAGATACAAGGGCGAGTTCGGAGGTTTTTTCATTGGCACGGCGTTTCTTTTACAAAATTCCTAACGTTCCGCTAATTACCAAACAACGCTGTTTATAGTTTTACTACTGCCTGACCGTTTATAGACATTGTCAAGCACCTGTCGAATCGGCAAACACTCGTGACTTATTTAATACGCAATGAGAAAGGCATTACTCGTTTATTGGGTTTTCGTATTGTTCGTACACGTTGCGTATCCTCTGTTCTGCTCTCGACTGTAATTTAATACGATAATATTGCTAATGACACGGTACTAGAAACGGCTATTCAATCGTGGATACGCTTGATATAATGCATTAATTGATACATTTACTGGAAGGAGTCAGGTATAGTCAGCAAATAGTTACGGACCATTGAGGAATTATCTCCTACATCATTTGTCCTGTTTGATTTTCTGTCACTAATTGGATTTGATATTATAGTAGTGATTTTAGTAAAACGGGAAAAATGGTCAGTTGATCTGATTATTGACCATGGACAGTTTTCATTTTCTTGGTTTAACCTAAAAAAAATGACAATCTTATGGATTAATTATTTTACTCTAGGACTCCACTGATATTACTGTTTACATCCGAAGCGACGATTCATCTCGATTGTGCTCCGGTTAATTAGTATAATTTCTCACCGAGGAAAAATATCTGTCAACGATGGCAGTTTGAGTTTAATACATTAAATACAGCTTTCACGACGGGCTAATTGACTTTTCAAAAATCGAAGCTTCACGATCACCGCGAGAAGACCTGATTACCCCCGTCAATGTTAAATTTTGCCGCGCGTGCGCGCACTGACGTTTCCAATTACTGAATGCGCGATCCGCCCACCGAAATTACAAATTTTATAATTTGTTGGACGCGAGACGTGTAAACGGCTTTATAATCGAATCAATATTTAATAGGATGCTCGTGCATGGGGTTGCGAACAACGTAATTAAATATACTCTACCTTTCAACTCATTACCAGACTGTGGATGTTTATGCAAATGCATATTTCTATAGAAAATAGGTAAAGTAATCTGACCTGGACAGAATTTGTTATTAGAGGGTTCTGAAGATATGTTGTTTATCTAGCACAATACGTATGTTTTGCGTATTGCATACTCTTTGCATATTTTGTGTATATTTCTTGCACACTTCATACATATGCAATGCAACGAAACGTTACTTTTCATAT